AGGAAGCACATCGAGTAGTGAATCGACTTTGTAGACTCTGTCCCTAAGTTCAGTTGTTCTTCCTACTGGCGCATGCATGTCGAGCTTGAAGCTCGTGAATGATGCAATTTACAATCTTGACCATGCCACCGAGTTTCCGGATCCGGATGCCTTGGCTTGGCGCCAAATATTTCAACAGCTTCTGGGGCAAGCCACCTTGACTTGCACGAGCGACAAGTTCACTGCGGTGGCCACGACGGGAGACAACGTGAGCACGTTGTCGACTTGGTTCATGGCGTCAGCCAGCTCAAAGGTGGCGCCAGCAATGTCACGACGCAAGCGACGGTGAACATTATCGACACTTGGTCTACGTCACGTCATCGACTGCAAAGTTGTTGCAAGACTGGATCGGGTACACGGCAGACGAGCAAGGCAGCATGCAGCCGCGTGGGTGCTGTTTAAAGCCAAAGGCGCGACCATGCGTTCAGTGTACAATGCTGGCACTGGCGTGCGCGCTTGTGCGTCTTGTGGAATACAGGATGGCATCGGTACGCCGCTCGGTCCTGAGTCAAATCGTCGACAGCGTGGGCTCCATGTTGTCAGCACTCGGCATGCCCTCGTTGACGTTGTGTGAGATGGATTCAAGATTGTTCCGGCGTTCGGATGAGGAGTAAGCCGCCCTCTTGTCCCCCCAAGACGGGGGGCTGCGTGTTTCGCTTTTGACTGGAGAGCTGTTTCGCTCTGTCGCGCTGTCACGACGAATCTGCTTGAAGGCATGTTCCCTCGCACGCCGTCGTCGAGGGTGCACCTCATGCTGGCAACAATGAGCCCTAGCACTTGTCGACGATGAATAAGACATGAACACGCGACCGAAAAGCTGCATCTTGCTCGTGGTATACCAAAACGTGCATGCCCCGTTCCTTACAGAGAGAACGTCGCTCCAGGAATCGCAAGCGATGGACTTTTGCAGCCCTGAAAAGAATCCGCGGCTCTGCCGTGCCCTGAAGTCGTCATATATCGAAGAATGGCGTGGGTTGAAGTGGTTGAGGTTACCATCCATTTTTCTGTGGAATTCACATCTTGGACAAACTATAGAACATGTCAAAGCTTGGGGGCGGTGCGAACGTCAGTCATTGCACTCCACTTTGGAATTGCCGGCCAAGATGAAGTTGTACTGCTTGATCCAAGAACCAAATGCGCAATCGTTCCACGTCCACATCGCGCCGGAGTGACCTGAAGAGCCTCATTTGCGCCAGATACCCAAGCAGCCTGAAGGACATCGACAACTACAAACTAAGACTGTCACTCGCGCGCAAAGACGGACACTAGCTCTCCGTAGAGGATGCGATGACTAGCGATGTCGAGTTCAAACTGCTCCCAGAAACCAGCCTGATCTCCGACATTTTCAGTGGGGAGCTGGGAAAGAACTGCATTCACGTGCTCGTTCGACGACCCGACTACGACCACGCCAAGTATTTCGAGGCGTGCCGAGTTGCAAGCTTCCCTCTGAACCGCAAGCGTGACTGGGAACTCCTGAATCGTGCCATCCGTTCCAAGGCTCGCAAAGACGGTCGCACGGCCTTTTCGGCCGTTGAGTACGAAGACCTGCCGGACCGCTTCCTTACCGATCACGGCAGTGTGACGTCGGGGAAATTCTACGACCTCATGAAGAATGCAACAGG